AAGATATTCAGTCGAGGAAAGGAAAGATAGAATTCTGAGGTATTTGAAGAAAAAGAACCAAAGGAACTTCAACAAGACCATCAAGGTAAATTAGGTACATCGTGTGTGTGTGTATACAACTGTTATTTTTATCCTCTATTGAGATCATTTATTCATGCTTGAAGAAAACAGTGTTTTGAACCAATTCCAAATAAGAATTTACTTGATAGTTAGTGATTTACCTTCATTAGTCTGTTTCAATAGGTTGATACAATGATTCGGGTGACCAACACGGTGTTGGTGTTGGTATGCAGAACAATTCTTTTTAGACCGATATTTATGTAAAACTTCTGCCCAAATTTATTCGGTTAAAATGTGTATGCAGTATGTTTGTCGTAAAACCCTAGCTGACCGGAGGGTTAGGATTCGAGGGAGATTTGCAAGAAACAACGAGATATGTGAACAACTGTCACCCTCGAAGAATAATACCGAGAAAGAAGAAGAAATATATTCCGGGGATGACTATATAGCCCAGGTAATTATTAGTTCCTTTAATTGTCTTTTCGAAACATACCATTTCCTAGATACATTGGTATATTTATTTCATACCTAATAAGATTTTTTGAGTTCCACTCTATCAACCTGATGAACTGTTATTTTTGTATAATTGATTCCAAACAGATGGAGCACGACGACAGTTGGCTGCAAGAAGCAATGTCCGACATGATTTACTTTCCCAGCGAATCTTTCCTTGTCGCCGGAGATAGTCATGAAAGGACGTGGAACTTCTGATCTTAAGTTTTATGTGATAACATTTAGACAACTAATTTAAACAATAGAAATTCATGTCTTTTATACGATCGACGAACGATTGAATTAGTATGTACGTCCGATTTTTATTGGAATCTCCTACTCTTTTCCCCGTTTTCGAGCAGAAATATTGTGCGTGGATTGCTGTTAATTACGTTTTGAAGTCTGCGTATGCATTGTGATGCAACTCGAATGAGCCTTTATTTTTGTAGGAGTCTCACTTGTTGCAACTCGCGCGGTTCGTATTTTTCTTTAACATACAAGTGGTGCGAGATTTGAACCCCCCTCTTACCACGTACTCGGGAGCTTTATACGATCAAGTGACTCTCTCTCTCTCTATATATATATATATATATCTCGATGGTGATTCTATAGGACCAACTTACTTGATTGGTTTTTTTTTTCTTAATGGGATCGAGTCCTCGTACCATGCGAGAGGTTTTTACTGAATTCGGCTGGTTTCAAAATTTATAATTTATCGTCTATGTAGACGAAATCAATGCTACTCGCATCTCTCTTAGGGATTAAAAATAATGTTTTGTTTGTTAGAGACAAACAAAACACTTTCACCGTGACCAAGATTGAGTGATTCAACTGGTAAGGAAAGGAGCAAAGTTTTTTTCTAACCCGGATTCAAGTTCTCATTTGGAGATGGACATTCACATGGATTTTTCCGATTCTCTGAAAAATGTAGTCGGATCAAAGGTCCGGTGAACTTAAGGATTATTAAAAAAAACTTTTACCGTGCGAAAAAATTCGGTATGTTGGTCCATTAATAAAAAAAAAGATGATTCCATTTGATGGAACATATACATGTTCATTAAGGAACACATCATTTAGTTTATATCATAAGACGAATGATTAGCCTGTTTTTTTTTCCTGCGAAAACAATACGGGTATATATGAATAAAACAATAACATGACGGCATAAGTAACAAGGCCACACTGGTAAGTTAAGTAATGTGTTACTAAACAACAGTCCAAACTAAAATAAAATTTGAAGATATCCCCACGTTACTGTTTGAAGATATGCACTTTCCAGAATGATGTATAGTGTATAGATATAGATGGTTGACAACTGAGATCCAAATATATACTCCATGAAAGTAACTCAAAATCTTCAGTTAATTCGTATATTTTTACACTATATTATTGATAGTCTAAACTACTAAATGTTATAAATATCAGAAAATATTTCAGTAGCGTATGTAGAAATTAACATAAGCGTGCGCACATATAATTATACAATGGAATTTTTAATGTGAAGTTTTTTTTTTATATATAATCGGGACTCTCCGAGATCGAGAGGATCGGTCGGTAATTACCGTGAAGTTGAAGCAGTATTGGTCGAGAAGAGAGCTTGACGGACGGAGGAAGGATATTGGCATACGTGGATTTCCTCCCGCTTAATTTTGGCTACTGAACTCACTCCATTTACGTAAGAGAGGAAATCTACGTACGAATATTCTCCTCTCAAGCAAAAGTCTCCGCATGCTGTTATATAAACAAAGAAATTAAGTGACCGCACGTATGTACATATGTACGTACGTACGCTTGTGTGTGTGTGTGTTGAAACGAGTGAATGTGAACACACACAAGATATAAAACCGAGTTCCATCACTTTATCTGTCAGGCCATCGAGGCTTATTCTCTTATCGACTGTTTTTGTCAAATATAAATCAGCCCCTCTTCTCACATGCATACAGCAATATGATATTCTATTTAATTTCCGTTCTAAAAATCTTTTCATTGCCCTTTTTTTGTAACTTCGAAACGAAGATTCTCTCCCTCTCTCTCCCCTAGAATTGCATTTTACATCGTTTAAATTGAAACATATAATTATTTCGCATATCCTACCTTGAGATCCATCATGCATTTAATGGAATATATGGACTCATGGAATAAATACGATCTGGGCTGTTATATGTTCAATGTTTCGGACATGTACATTTTTTCAAACAACTTTTATATCTATAAAAAGAAGTTCCTAATTTTTACTGGAAAAAAATCTTGCGAACTATAAAATAATTGTGTGCATGTGGTTGAACAAGAAAAAAAAAACTTGTGGACATGATGCACCTGTATTCATTTTATTTGAAATCGATTACTTTTTTTGAGATATATCAACACCATTTATCCGGTATAAATTTAGTGCTTACATTTGATCATTGTTATTTCAGGCTTACTGATTGTTATTTTTTTTATCTGAATATCTAATTTATGAAATAGATAAACAAAGAAAATATGGAAGAGACTATTACAATATTTTACCCAACCTTAAATACTAACTAATTTTAATTATCTACTATATTGTCAAAACTCTTAAAAAATATATAAAATTCAGCCCAATAGTATCCTCATTTAGAGGGCCGACAACTAAGTATGGACTGAGTTAAGTTTATGCTGGTGTATCTGTAAACTCAAATGATTAATTAAATAATCATTAGAAACTAAATATTTAAAGTTACGGAAGTGAGTTGACTTACCCTAGAAGCTAGAAGCTATGGACGCAATAGCATGAACAAGTCAAACCAAAACAAGAAAATTGCGACAAGTAATAATTGTCATCTTGTTTTTTTTCCTCTCGAGAAATTAAAAAAATGAAGCTTTTACGAATTTTACAATAATATTTTCTGTGAAATTCCCACTAACCCAATTCTGTATTTTATTTGATGAGTCAACCCGAACAGACAAAAAGCATTACAAGCAAATGGGAGTGACAAGCATCGACTCCAACAGGCGTAAGAGAGCACTCTGTCTCCATATCCTCTAATATTTTGTTTATTGATAAATTATAAACTAATAGTTGCTGTCATTATCATAATAATAAAAGTTTAAACAAATAATCTACTTTTTAACAGAATCAAGAATCTTATAAAGAATAAATTTGTTGATAATATAAATAAATGGAATATAATTAGTAATAATATAAATAAATGAAATAAAAACGTAATAATGTATAAAAATCAAATTCTCCGTAAATCTGAATATTTTTATTAGTTATTTTTTAGTTACAACAATGGTGACCCCATCTGAACGCACCGGTTGCCGTTGCCGTTGCCGTATAATCTGTTAAGATTATTATTGCAATATAGAATTTAAGACGGACTTCACGTGCCCATTTTCAGTTGACAGGCTTCAATATTGATGCGTAAATACATATATAATTATGGATCGGCGCATGCAAACCCTTCTTCACTGGCAAGACCTTTTATTGTCCAGTTTTCCCCCACGAAGCTAGAAAGGTAGAAATGGTGATAGATTTTTTTACAACATATATTTTTTATATTTCCGTATAAAGCGTGAAATTATTAAATCCTTCTAGAATATATAGTTCAATTATTTGACCTGGAGATGCAAAACATATTATTACCTTGCCAGGAAGGAGATGGTCATTTATTACAAATTTTTTTACTATATATGGGAAATGTATATTGGATCGAACCATGAAGTACGCCATCATTCTTGGGAGTGTAATATGTTTGAGACAAGCAGGACTTATCCTCCCAAGTGTTTGAGATTAACGGTCAAAAATAGGGCATTTTTTTTACCTTTTCAATTATTGTGATTAAAAGAAATCATATATTCGATTACAGTGAACTTTGAAAAACTCGAGACATCTCATTTCTGTTGAGATCCGGAGAAAATAAGAAGGTTACGAGAGGAGAAAAAGATTACGAAAAAGGCTACGTATGTATGTATGTATGTATGTATGTATGTATGTATGTATGTATGTATGTATGTATGTATGTATGTATGTATGTATGTATGTATGTATGTATGTATGTATGTATGTATGTATGTATGTATGTATGTATGTATGTATGTATGTATGTATGTATGTATGTATGTATGTATGTATGTATGTATGTATGTATGTATGTATGTATGTATGTATGTATGTATGTATGTATGTATGTATGTATGTATGTATGTATGTATGTATGTATGTATGTATGTATGTATGTATGTATGTATGTATGTATGTATGTATGTATGTATGTATGTATGTATGTATGTGTGTGTGTGTGTATGTATGTATGTATGTATGTATGTATGTATGTATGTATGTATGTATGTATGTGTGTATGTATGTATGTATGTATGAAACAACTATTGTCGAGAGGCAACAAAAATGCCAAACATTAAGACGAATCTAGTTAGAATTCAGGCAACATAGTTCCTTCTTTTCCTGTCCACTTCCGCCAAAATTTTTGGTGTTAAATTTTAGAAAATGTTACAAAGATTCGGTGTATGATTTTCCAATCTCTGTAAACCGTTAGGGTATAGTCGCTTTCGATGCATATTGAAAACGAAATTTATAAGTGTCCCCATATAAAAGCACCAACTTTACTCGCTTACCCTTTCAGTGGGAGGGAGGGCTAATTCCAAATTGTGGGTTCGAGCTATAATGCTTATACGTTTTCATCCTTCCAGAGAATTTGTCGGGCAAAATGATAGCGATATACATCAACTCATTCATGCATATAATTGATATGGAATAAGATACGGACGTCTCTTTTATCAAATAACATTCATCAAATATAAATACAAATAAGATTATAAACAATCAAGTTTTGTAATAAAATAAATGCTATCATCGCTGTAAAAAAGGGAAAAAAAATATAAGACTTATGCTCGCAATTGTTTTACAATTAATCCAGAACTGCGTAATCATTTGGATCGCACATCCACTCGTAACCAAGTATTTGACATAAATTTAGTTGTTAGGATTGCATTGGAAGATCATGATGTTTATAAGTCTTGTGTCTTCCTTTTAACGAGCAGAGACATATAAGATTAGACGTCTTATCTTTCAACAAAAATGAATGAACTAACCCAGGTGTATATTTTATATAATATATAAAAATTTTGAAATTAAGTGTATGACCATGTTTTAAACACCTAATACCCCCAAATATACACACGAATCTAAGTGTGGTTCATGAGATTTTGGAGAAAGAAGATAATGCAACAATGGCCGCGTATAGAAACTGTGTAATGGGTTGACCTTCGCCACTAGGCTGGGAAAATCTGGCTTTACAGACTTTCTTTTGGCAGAATAAAAGCTTGAAAATTCAATCATGATAATTTTTCATAGAAATGATTGACAAACTTCGCA